TGCGCGCGCCCTCCGTGCAAAAATGGTGCCTCAGTTCGTGCTTTTTGTCCGCGCCCTTCGTGCTCAGTGTTAGCGCAGGAGCTGCCAGATGCTCCCAGCAAACATTCCATCCTCTCAAATTCCGATTGTTTCTTTTTCTTTTCCTTGCCCAGGCCAGCCTCGGCCAGGCCAGCCACCAGAAGCAGCAGGATAGCCAGGATAGCCGCCAGAAGAAGCAAAACAGCCTTTGAGAGGCACCGCAGGCTCAGCAAAAGGCCAGTATGTCCCCAGCCCCAGAAGACCAGGGGTAAAAGACCAGAGGTTGGCCACCAGAGGCTTCACAGCAACTCTTTCCACTTCAACCTTCTGGTGGCTGATTCTTTCAAAGCAGGCAACAGCAACAGGTTATAGTTTAGACTCTAGAGGCCACAAGCCTTGCTGCCCAGCAGCTTCTCAAAAGGGGGCCCAGCCTCACAGCAACCCTGCTCTCTCATTGGCGCTGGATTCTTTCAAAGGCCACAGGTTGACCACCAGAAATCTCATGCCAACCCATTGCTTCTTTGCATCCGTGGCGCGAGGTTTTCTGGAAAGCCAAAGATTGACAGCGAGGCACATCGGAGTTTTGTTTGAACAGTCTTGAACAGTCCTCACATCACATCAACCCTTGTTCCAGGAGTTTTCTTGTCAAAGGGCAAAGGCAAGCCATGAGAAACCAGAAACCTCACAGCCACCGTTACCCACTAGCCTTCTTTCAAGCAGGCTAGACCTCTCAAGTTGGACACCAGAAGCCGCACCAGCCCTTTGCTGCACCCTTTCAACCAACCCACAGGTTAGGCTGCGCAAGTTGGAACCCAGAAGCCTCACCAGTCCTTTCCTGCTTCAGCCTCGGCCATTTTCTTTCAGAAGCTGACAAGTAACACTGCATACCTTCAGCTTCAGTATCCCTTAAGCCTGGCCCCCCTGTGCCAGCTTTCCTTTTCCAGAGGACACCTGTTCCACGCTGCCAGTTTTCCTTTAGAAGCCAGCAGCGTCAAGTAAACCACTAGAAGCCACGCAACACCATTTCAATTTTTGCATCCCTTATGCAAAGTTCTTTCAAAAGGCCGCTGGTTTGCCACCAGAACCCCTACCGCCTTCCTTGCGCCTTGCCTTCGTTGCCCCTGCTTTCTTGCCTTCCTTGCGCAAGGTTGGCCACCAGGGGCCAAAGCCTGGCAGCAACCCTTTCCCCTTTCCACTTGACAAGGCCACAGCTTAGTGACCAAAGCTGAAGATTGAAAAGGCCACGGGTTAGGCACTACAACCTGCACAGCGCACCGCAGCATGTGGAAAGTTCAATTGCCTGCACAGCGCACCGCAGCACGCCGGCTTTTTGGTTATCTTAAGGCGTGCAAGGTGGCAAGTAGGACGGAGTAGGAATGCTAGTTGGGGCAAGTCCTTTTTGTGCTCAGATTTTGGCTGGCTCAGATTTGACGGACCAAAAAGGTCTAGGGATCTAGCCCAAGCGCCAGGGAAACGCAAGGTTGTAACATTTAAGACTGTAACTGTAAGAGCAACCATGAACAACAATAGGTCAAAGACAGCAAGTTCTTTGCCATGACAATTCACAAAAAAGTAATCTTCTGTGTTCAATCACCTTCTTTGAAGCCCTGGACTTGGAAAGCCCAAACACGCAGCACCAAGTGTGCTTTTGTTTTTGTATAAGTTGCGCAAGAATTCTTGCAGCTTGGACAAGTGTAGGGTCATTCTTGGCAAATGTTCACTCCTGGCAGGCCGCGACAAGTGGGACAACTTTGGTCAAGCAGGGCCAAAAAGCATCGCATCTCTTGGTTGGGTGGGAGTGCTTCTTGGCGTTTTTCACCGTGCATGTTTGGTGCTCTAGTTTGTGCTCGCTGTTACAGCTATTAGGCAAGACCTACATACATACATACATACGTATTATGGTTTTCATATACGATATAGTTTTTATATATATATACTCAATATTTCACTATGTACATGTACATATACACGTAATATGCTTGTTTGTGTATATTATATTTATATATATATAGCAAGGGGTATATTGTATTTCCGAGACAAAACCGAAAAACGACGCTGACGCAATTGCCACCGCATGAAGACTTGCATATTGCGCGCAGACTTCAAGATACCAAACACAACACATGTCACATGTACCATTCCAGTTTGATGCAGAGTCTCAACGTTGGATCTTTCCATTGAATGCAAAATGCATTCCGTTTTGCAACTTGGGGCTAGAAGTGGGCAACTGCGAAGAGACTTCACCACTGTATCTTTTTTAGGCGGAACTAGTTGAAGAACTATATCGCGTCCGCACTGAAAGATCTTGCTTAGACTAAGCTGCTTTATTCATTGCTAGCTTAATATGCGCTCATGCATTTTCTTTGGATGAGATCCTTTCCGACGCACGCCCTCCCAAGAAGCCAGCATTTATTTGCTGACCGCAACAAGAGTCGAGGACGGAGCAGTAGAAGTTAACGCTGACGGGTATTCTGCTCTTGTTTACCCTTGGTGTTCCCAGAGCGCTTGCTTGCAGGCTGGAAGAGTAGGACCGCAAGACAACTCCCCTTGCTATTTCAGCCTGATCCCCAGCTACTTGCGGTACATCATGTGCGAGCTATTGAAGAACAGTTTCCGGGCAACGCTCCTCACATCATCAGAAGATGACATGAGCAAACGTCCAGTGCGCATTCGGGTGTGTAGAGATGTCCACACTGTTGCAATCATAGTCAGCGATGAGGCTGGTGGGATTCCCTTTGAAGTTGGGGACCAAATCTGGTCTTACATGTACGGCACCGCTGCAAAAATTGGAACCAAACCAGAAGGCTTTGGAAATCCCGAGAACTTGACCGGGTATGGGGTTGGGCTTCCTTGTGCCCGCTTATACGCGCGCTATCTCGGCGGAAGGCTTTCGCTCACTTCCTATCCTGGCTATGGGACGCAAGCCCATTTAATGTTGCCGAGACTTGATCCAAACGAAGTGCAATGAAGATCGAAGGCGATGAATGCAGGAGACCATGTTGGCTCTGTGTGAAAGAACCATGGATAGTCACTGTGAAGCGCCTGGAGCAGACGGAGGTTTTAAACGAGGCAGCCTAAGGCAGCGACCGCAACACATACGAGAGTGGGTCGGGCATGGCGCGCAGAAAAACTTTACTTGGAAAGCAGGGGCTGACGATATCCTGTGCTGCGAGGGTAAGATCTACGGTGGGGATTGCAGCGGCATTGCTAGGAGCCGTGATACCAAGATGCTTGCGCCGACCAGCTCAATACGGTGAACAAAACTACGTTTGCAGTTCTGACATCCCTGTGCTCGCCTTGTCCGTGTCCCTCGCATCAAGCTATGACTTCTTGTGCCTTCGAGTGCCTGCAGTGCGCAACAGGACCAAGCCATACCAAGCCCAGACTTAGAGCAGTTGTATAATTGTCTTATGTGGCGTGACAGGCAACTGGTCCGGGAGTCGCGCTGGCACGTGTAAAAAAATTGCTCGGCGCAATCAATATATTGAGCTCTCGCACATGGCCTCATAGCACGTTGCGCGTTGTTGGCGCTGCAGCCATTGAGTCAGCCAAATCCTGTCTCATGGTAATTGGAACTACTGTATCCGGCTTGTGTCATTTGGAATGTTTGAGTGTGAAGCACTTAGGAGCTAGGCAGCACTTGGATACCGACAAGGCCAATATGGGATTGACCATCCATTCACTGGGCTTTGAGAGCACGATGTTTTAGCGGACCCTAGATACGCCGTTGTACAATTATTCAGGACCATTGGACCATCTGTCTAGTTTGGGCCGAAATATAGAAATTGGGCCAACTTGAACGCACTTTACGTTTCATATGAAGACCTATTGAAGTTGTATCAGAGGCAAGTTGAGAGAACAGAAAGGTATAGAATATGGAAAGACCAAAGAGGCAAGTTAATTACATGGCTATGCGGTGCTGCAAAAACAGTGCCATGTAAGCCGAGCTTGAGTACAGCAATGTCACTGCCTCAGCTGGGACGAATGTGTTCAAAAGCATCTTCGTCGTCGTCGTCGTCGTCGTTGTTGTTGTAACAACTGTTGCTGTTCTTGCTTTTGTTATGGTTGTTCTTCTTCTTATTATTATAGTCTTACTATTCCTAATTGTTGTTGCTGTTGCTGTTGTTGTTGCCGGCTTAGGCTGGCGCTGAAGGCGTGAGCCGCACATGCGCGTGGGCTTTCTATGAAAAAGCGGTCATTTCTCGCGCTACGGGGGCATCTCCGGCCTGGCTTCCCAGCTCAGCAGCTGATACCCTGCTCCTGGTTTCTCGGAAGACTTGGTCTTCTGGGCCGCTTTCATATCTCCATATTCTCCTCAATTTGTGGTATTTCAGCCGGCTTGCTTGACCGTCTAACATCCTGCCATCGAAACCTTGCGCAAGGGTGGTATCTCGACGCAGAATGCTCGAACAGCTGCTTCTGACCCTGACCGGTATTTTGATTTGATTTGCTGGGCAGCCTATTCTTCAAGAGGAGCAATCCATTCGCCGCCATGAGCCCAGCCAAGGGCCTGACGGCGCCTTCTGCTTGACGGCCATAGCGCTTGCCTGGAAGAAAAATCATGGACACACGCATTTGCGGAGAAGTAAGGGTCCAACGTCCTAGACAAACGGAGTGTTGGCTCCCTGCGCAAAGGTCAATTTTTTAGCCCACCCCGTTGCCTGCTTTTTGAAGCAAAGGCATGACGGCTCGCAGTTGACGAACTTGTCCATCTACAACTCTTGGCGCCGAGGCCGCTCATGACTTAGGCTTCGTGCAGAGATAAAGTTAATAAGACAGAACTGCAAGACGCAAGCCTTGCAGTTCTCTACCAGCGGCGGGTCAAGCGCAAAACCCTTGCTCGGTCTCAGCCTCCTCGTTCGGTTCCACACCGCGCGCGACAGAACACCTTTCAAGGCCAAGTGGCAGAATCGCAACTGCAAAAAGCCAAGCGCAAAGCGCTCCGCGGCCACTGGTTTGCAGCTACTGGCTCCTGTGGGCCAATATAAACAGTTGCTGCCGCCGGCCCTGGCGCCTTGCGCTTCTTCTCCTCTCCGTGCGTGGTTGCGGCGCCTTGCATTGGAGAGAGAGAGAGAGAGAGCGCCTTGGATACGGAGGGACACTCTCCTTGCGCTGCGATCCTGCTTGGAAGCGCGCAAAACGTGCGCTTGGCTCTCCGGCAAAAAGTGGGCAGCTTGCTTCATTCACGGAGCTCAAACCAAGGGCGTCGCAATTTTTCTGCCTATAGGCGATGTTTTCTGCCAGCAGCCAAGACATCTGCACGGACCGCTGCGGCGTCCACACTGTAATAGATCGCTACAACAATATGTTCTCCAAAGCGCGCACTTCTTGATTGAAAAGGGGCGCAACTTTGCCGACAAAGCAAGACTGCGCGGCCCGCTCGCAGACAGTTACAATGGCGGGTCAACAGTGGCTTGGCACGAGGACCAAGTCTTGGCTGACGCTATTTCGGGCAAAGCTCGCACTCGAGTGGAACGCGCCAGTTCACCCATCAAAACAGCCGACGCAGCAGCTTTAAAGCGCGCAGTGCTTGGGACGCGCAAGGAGTTCGCGCGGCCTGCAACTGCACAGCAACCGCGCCTGGAAACAGACGCATTACACCTGGACGCTACAGCGACCAACGTTTTTGGCCATAGTGTCAGAAAGCCAAAGGTGACATCATTTGTCAATGTCCCGACGACATACAAGTGGAAACCGCCCACGCAAGCTTTCTTCTTGATGATGGCGTGGTTCATTTGCATTTCTCGCGCGTGGAAAGCTACATCTCTGGCCAGTGGTGACAACCCTTTTTAACATGTGCGCCGCGCACGCTGTGCAAACAATTTGGTCTCAGTTCTGGGGACCCTCCCGTGTTGCTGCTCCAGCGTACAGCATGGCTTCCGATCCTGCTTGATGCCTGGGCAGTGTTGCGTGAGACGCACTCTCCTATTGCAAGTGGCCTTGACAAAGTCTTTGTCGACGAGTCGGTAAGCTCTGACGTTCTTGATCAGCAAACATTGTTTTTGATGAAGGCAAGAGCCGACATGGCGAAAAAATGCACAGACCTTGATGGAGAGGGCCTTGCGCGCACGCGCAGGGAAACATATATACTGGGGTCAGATGACTCAGGCCAAAGTGGTCCGATATGACATACAGTTTTGCCAGGGAAAGTCCTAAGTCATGTATATGTGTAAAATTGGCCATTTCAATGGCAGACGTTCATGACATAGGCTAGTTTGACCCGTTTCATTGTTTTTTTGGTCCTCTTCCTGGAAGATTGAGCTAAGGATAGAGAACATGTTATAGGAAGGTCGCCATGTCTTTGTCCTTTGCACTAGTCGTATGTCATGGACTGTTGTGGACTCTCTTACTCATGTGTGGGGTCTGTGACGTAGGACGTTTGCCTGTCTCAAAAACCAACGCACAACCCACGCAAAGCCGCTGAAATGGAATGCGTGACTTAGGCTTTAAGCGCCGACAAGACAGGAGCGCAGTAAGTACGGTGTTTTGACGCGCGTACAAAGAAACAGGTGGAAGCGAAAGGATGGTGAAATGGTTGCGTTTCCACAGGGGCAGTGGATGACGGAGATTCAACTTTAAGACTAAGTCAGTAGCTTTTGCAATGAGCAATAAAGAAATCAAGTAGCTTCTGAGCCCTCAAATGTGACGAAGGCATTTCACCACCACCACCACGTAGGGACTTATTTTACTACACCACTGGAACGAGTACTCTACCACTAGCACCACTACTACCATTGGTACAAGCACTTGTTGGCTTGCCAATGCTGTGTACAGACAAAGGAAGAAAATATGTGATACGTGGTGGGCGGGTTGCAGTTTGCAGTTTGTGTTTGTTACTTGTTTTTGTTTTTGTTGCTGATGTTGTTGATGTGTCGTTTCTTGTTGTTTTGGTTGGTTGGTTGATGTTGGTTTGCTGGTTGTTGTTGATGCGCTTCATTGTCAAGTTATGCCCAACTGAACAGTTTCGATGTGGGCAAAGTTAGCCTGGCTTTGTTTGTTTGCTCCACAAAGGGGCCAGCCAAATTCAAAATCACGGCCACTTCAGGCGCCGTAGAAGAGTCCCTGCCGAAGCCTGCGCAGCGTCTGACTGAAACATCTTGAGACCAACAGGAGTTCATCCTGCGAGACATTGTGCAACCAAGGCGCTGGAACCGCTTGAGCTTGTCCAACCCTCCAGGCAAAGTTTTCAGGAAGTTCATATCACAAAGTTTCTTCCAGAATGGTGATAACTGGAGTAAACGTAAACCTTGCATTTGCTTGAGAGAGGAGAGCAATCATCCCCATCCAGTTTGGAACATGTGATTTGCCAATCTCGTTCCATGTTATTGCACGCTATTGTTTGAAACATTGCATGTTTCTTGTTTTTTTGCCCATTAAGGCGCAAAACGCAAGCTGCTGAGAGAAACATCATATTTTGTGGACATCCCCGATTTAAAACGTCAAAACTGAGCCCCTTCCCTGCTCACGGACAGAACTAAAAATATGACTGTCCGTTGTTCGTTTTAATTGGATTTTGACGTTTAATTTGGAGGGTTCTCCAAGTGTCACGAAAGTTTAGGGACATATTATCCCTGGCTCAATTTATGTTGATACCCTACCGCTTGCGCCGTGCGTATTGTACCACATCGTCAATGCATCCACCTTGTGGCAACACATCCTTCCTCCGTTGTTTGGGTTGTATTGTGCATGTTTGAAGCCCATTAGTCATAAAATGGCACTACTTTTGTCCGTCCATCACATCAGAACCTAACCATCCTGCACCCTACACGGCCAGGGCAACTTATTTACACTGGTGTTTTCTCGATATCCCTGTGATGAAAGCTGTGATATGCACTGCACCACATAATTTTTCTTTTGCGGTCCCACATGGTTCCATATATATAGAATCATGCAACATAGAACCATAGAACCGTCAGGAAAGGGTTAGAGTCACAGTGCGCTAGCGCCGAAGTGGAGCAACTGCGTTCCAGCCACAAGCGCTTACTTCCAAGCAAAACACCCGGGAACAGAACTAACACGGACCAGTTGGCGGAAACACAGATCAGCAATCGCACGAGCAAGTTTTGAAAACAAGTGGAGCCGTATTTTCCAGCTCGGTTTGGGCCTTCGTCGTCGAGTAGAAACCTTGTGAACCTACTGTGTGATGCCTGACAGTGAACTTCCTGGTGAAGCTAACACGGCCCCTATGGCTGGCGGCACACAGTAAGCGCACGGTTTCAAATGCTTCACGTTGGCACTCTTCACCACGTGATTGCATTCATGGGAATGGTAGCATGATCCTGTGCGGGTGATCAGCCACTCCTTCCTTTCTAGGGTGAAAAGAGCTGCACATCGTACTTCGGCCAGTTTGGCCTTTGCTTCCAATTCAACTGCCTTCACTCTCTTCTTCCACAGCTCAGTCACCTCCCAGGCTCGTGCACAGTCTTCAGCAAGCCGCTCCATTTCCTGAGCACGTTCGTCATCAGTGCCACTGAGCCTGGTCACCTTTCTCGCAGCATTGTCCCTTTCTTCCTTTGCATTCTCCAGCTCAAAGCGAAGGTCACTGCACATGTTGTACGTTCGTACGACCTCTCTGTACTGGATGTCCTTGTTTTGTCGAACTTCCTTTAGCTTCTCATCTTGCTCGGCCACTGTGACTTCAAGCCGAACAATCTGCCATTGCATATTCACCTATTCTTGGTCCACTTGGCTGCTTCTTCTTCATTTCTCACACGCGGTTCACCCGCCTGACCATACTCACGTTCATCCTGCTTCTCCTCGATGATCTCCTCATGGGCTCGTCTCCCATTCAACCATGCTCTTGTAGCATCCATTGCTAGCCGTGCCAGACTCAAGGCCCCAATCATAGCCAGGCATAGCATAGTCACCAATGGCCGAACCCACCAGGACTCATCGTCATGGCCCTCACCTTCTCCATCTTCTTGTATCTCTGCACCCTGTCCACCCTGCAAGAGTGACAGGGCAATCACCAGTGCCACTTTGGCGTTTGCGCCCATGGCCTTAGCCATTTTGGTGGTGTTCTTCTTGAGCTCTTCCTTTAACTTGATCTCATTGTATTGAGCTTTGCCAACCTTCTCGTCATCACCATCGATCATCTTGATCAGGTACTTGAGGCCATTCATCCTTGCCTTGCTCAAGATCTTGGTCCCAATGTCGCTCGTGTTGACTGCAGTTGGGATTCCGGTGATGCGCACTTCTTTGGAGTTCACTCGCTGCTGAAGCCATAGAAGTCCAGCAGCTATGTGCCTTGTCCTGCCCACTCCAATGCGTCCAGCCAGTGCTCTCGCTGCCGAGGAGTCTGATCTGCAAACCATGTCCGCCTCCTCGTCCGTCAAGAATTTCCAGCAATGTCGAATGAAGAGTCCTTCACTGCAGCCTCCAACCATAGCTACATACTCACTCTCTCCACTCGACAGGGCAATTGAACGCTGGCTCCTCACATAGCTCTCAACCAGGCACCCATTGAGGAAGATCTGCACTGAGCTCACTGATTTCCGACTGTCCCGCTGACCAGCGTAGTCTGCATCACAGATCACCTCCAGGACGCTCTTGCTCTCTTGGTCGATGTCCCACTCATAGATGTTGTCATCGGTGTTCAACACACATCGACCTTTGGCTCCATGTTCGAACAAAATGCCCTCATTCATGGTGCCCAGTAAGTAGGAGCTAACATGTTGCATTGCTCGCCAGCCTTTCTTCGTTGGACATGACATCAAGCTAGCCAGTCCTTGGGCCGCATATTGGACGTCAGGCCGGTAAGGAGCAATATACAACAACTTGCCCACTGCACTCCTGTACTTGGTGATGTCCTCTGGGTTCATGGGCTCATCCTCTTTGCTGAGCTTGTTGAAATTCCCATCACCTGGAGTGGACCTGAATTTCTTCTGGTCAACCTTCGTCAACTTGGCCAGCTCTTTGATGTGCTGTTGATCTGGGCGAATGGTGATGCCCTTCTCGATGATCTCCATCTGCCTCTTCAGGTAGCTGAAACTGCCTGCACGAAGGGGTCCACGCTTCTGCATCCAGCTTGGCCAGCTCTTCTTCATCTACCACGGGTGGCTTGCCTTTGCTTGCCTCCATCTCACCTTCATCATCACTGACTGCATTGAATTGGTGCTGTAGGACTTCTTCTCCAATCATCTCATCTCCACCTGGGAAGTGCAAGGTTCTCTACGAACTCCTCCATTCGTTGTCTCTTCGGGGTGACTTCGTGTGCACCTGGAGGAAAGTTGCCAGCTGGTTCACCCCTCATGGCTTCTGGAATGGGCAGTCGGACAATCTTCCGTTTGGGACTCTCATCAGCTTCACCCAATGGGAGTCGATGGAGACTCCGTGGGTCTAATGGCTTGGAGCTAGATTCACTGCTTCTAGCCGGTTCTGCTGAGGCTGGTGGTACTGCTGCCGGTGTAGCTGGTACGGGTACGATCATGGGAGTCTTCGTACCTGGTGTCTTGGTACCTCCTGGCTTGTTGCCTGGTGTTGGAGGTGCTGGTGTCCTTGCTGGGGTCTTGGGCTGTCCATCAGCTGGAAGTCCTGGAGTTGTTGATCCAAGTGCATGCCCAATCATGCCCATACATGCCAATGGCCACTTGCTCCCCCACAACCTTGGCTTCCTTCTCAACTTGCTCATCTCCAATGGCTTCTTCTGCCATGTCGGCCACTCTCTGCCGGGCTGCAAACTTCGTCTTCATCAAGATGCCCTGCACTGAATACTGCCAAGGTAGACCTGGACAATGGACCAACATTTGACCATCGAATTGGCCGGGTAGCCGTCGGATGAACCTTGCCTCAACTGCTCCAGATCTGGTGAGGCAAATGTGACTGTCACACCATGAACTCTTCCCAACCCAGACACCCTTCCGGTACACAGGCTCTCCCTTGTGCTTGAATGATGCCACATCCTTGAGCAACACTGTCTCTCCCCACAATGCAACCTTGCCCACATATCTCCTGTCAGTGAGGAACTCAAAGGATGTGGTGCCGTTGACTCAGTACCGCAACATCAACCAAGCAGCATGCCTGAAGCTCCAAGGGTAACAATGCATGTCACCAGTCAACTTCACTCCAGTTTTCTCTTCTGCAAACTGCCTGAGGGTGTTTGCCAACTTTCGAACCGACTGGACAGTTCTCTCGGCTTGTCCATTTGATGCATGTTGGTCTCTTGAGGTGGTTCGAATCTCGGTGGTCATGCCGAGTGTGGTTCGTGCATGTTGGATTGCCCTCAAAATCTGACGAGTTGCACGTTCGCCGTCGGACTGGAAGATGATGGGCTGAGTGTTGCACACCTGCATGCTGAACCTTGTGAGCTCTTCAGTGACCTGCTTGAGCGATGCACTGCCTTTTGCTTGCACTGGGATGCAAAGTGTGGCCTTCGACTCTGACTCTGCAACATACAAAGCAGTGCCCCATTGCCTGTCCTCCGGCATCCCAGATGTGTAGGTGAAGCCGTAGTCGAAGCTAATCACAGGCCTTCCACGATCTTTCCGATCTCCTTGATCTTCTTTGGTGCGTGGGTCCTCTTTTGACCTGGTGGCTACACATTGCTGACACCAAGGTTGGAATGGCGGATGTGTCAACTGGTGCAACTCCTGCTCATGTCGATTTAGGAGTTTCGGTGTCTTCAATGGCACTGCCTCCCGTCTGTTCTCGGCAAAGAGTCGTTGTGCCACCTCATAGTAGGCCAGCTTCTCTTCTTCTTGATGCTTATAGCGTTGAAGCCTCCTCAACACCCTGCAAATGTCCTGGAGATCCTTCAGCTTTGTCTCCTTGTCGAACCATGTCTCATCTATCTGAATCCTCAGCTCATCACGGTCGATGAACTTCACATCTTCAGCCACTTCAGCTCTTCCTCCACTGCCGGCCGCCAGCATAGGAAACTCTCCACCTTCCTCATCACGTTCATCATCTGGCCATGAAGCTGGTTCTCCTTGCAACAATGGGTACTGACTCACAGGGACCTCCGAGTTCACCCACAAAGTAGTCCCGAATTAGCCCTGGAGCCACAAAAGTCAATGCTGGTCTTGGTCCTCCTGGGATTGGTCGAAATGGCAGTGGAGTGTCACGGTATGCAGCCAGGCTCTCAATCTGTTCCCAGCCGCCACTGTTGTCCTTCTTCTTGAGCAACGTCATGCGTCCACACCATTTGTCACCAAAGGAGAGGCTTGGGTCAAGAAAGTGTGTGGCCTGTGGACTTGAATGCACAACAATTCCATTTGGCAGTGCACGCCAGCCCGGCACTTTCTCCAGGAGTGCCAGTTCCCTGGAGATGTAGCCAAACAACATGCGTCCTTCTCCACGGACTGGAAACACATGGTTCTCCTTATCCTCAATCTCCATTCCAGCTCTGTCTGACAGCTCCAAAGGTTCACTCTTCACTTCGTTGTGCTTCAGTTTCCAGTTCCTCCAACGAGCCATGCGAGCTTGGACTCGTCCATGTTCACTGCTACTTGCCTCCACCAGAACATCACCTGACTCTTCTGTGGTGTAGCCAAGCTCCACGGCTTCTGTCTCGGAGGTCTTGGATTTCTTCATAGGTGTCTCCTCAGCCGGTCGACTTGTTCCAGCCTGCGTCTTCTGCTCGGCGAGCTCCTGCATCAAAGCCAATGTCTCGCCATCTTCTTGTTCAGCAGCTCGTTTCACACCACGATCACCTTCCGTGGGCTCTCGATGGCCTTCAATGCCACTTGACTCAGCTGCTGACTTCTCATCATTCTCAGGGACCTTCTGCTCCTGTAACACGATGTCATTCGGGACAGCTTCATTCTCCTTTGACGTCTCTTCATTCTTTGGGACCTCATTCTCCACTATCATGGGAGGGCAATGCAGCTATCACCGAGGCGGTAGGTCACGTTGGCACTTCGTTCATACTCACGTACCATCAAGTCATATTGGGGCAACTGCTCGGTTACGGTCTTGTTCATGTCGAACTTTACCTTGTTCAGGGACTGTATCAGGGCCAGTGATCTCTGCCTCGTCTTCGGCTGCAAATCGCTGGTGAGGATGCGCCATGCCTCAAGTCCATTTTGACTGGACACTCCCCTGACCAACCTCAGTGGGCGCTGCTTCATGAGTCCTGTGAGCAGTGAGTACAAACGCTCGGACTGGGGTCGAACATTCGGCAACGAGTCGTTGATGACGTTCTCCTCCTTTTCTGCATTCTTCATGTGGGCCATCTATTCAACTCTTCACTGCGGTTCTCAGGGGAGAAGTTGGTAGGTGGCTTCAGGTGTTTGGTGAACCCTGAACTTCTTTGTACTGGGTGCACCTCTATGAGGCCATGGAGGGCCTGTACCAGCCCTTGAACACCTCCCAAGGAACCAGTCGCTCCCGTAGTCGCCCCACCAGTGCCCTCGTGCTCCTCGATGCCCGCCATGTGCGAGACCCGGATACTAGCTCACCCGGGATTTCGGTGAGCCGCTTCCCCCCCGGTGGATTAAAAGGGTTCCCCCAGATGCTGGGGCTACCAGCAGAGCTCCGCTACCATGAAAACAAGTGGAGCCATCTTTTCCAGCTCGGTTTGGGCCTTCGTCGTCGAGTAGAAACCTTGTGAACCTACTGTGTGATGCCTGACAGTGAACTTCCTGGTGAATCTAACAAGTTTGCTAACTGAACTTGAACTTCAAGTAGCAAAGCTTGCAGTCATGGCTAGGGCGTTGGACTCCTTGATCGAGCATGGCTTGCTGGAGCGAGTTTGCGACCTTTTGCCAGCTCTCGAGGTCACGATTGACAAAAATAGAAGCTGCTTTACTTGCACAAGCTGCAGTGCAAGCACTATTGCCTTGGCACAAACAAGCCTCCCAAACCCAGTGTAAGCTGCTTTTGTTACAAGTGGGTATCAATTGGTGTTAGCTTCACTCATACTTTCATGGCGATCAGATTGATACACATGTATAACGGCAGAGTGTGACGGCTTTGTGGCCATGACCAGCTTTTGCAGGTGGGGCGCATCTCATGCGCCAGTGAGCATTTGCAGGCATGCATTGCAGCGCGTCAACTTGACATTCGTCCAACGCTTGGATTGCCATGCCAGGTCTTTGCCAGGGAGGCCCAGCAAATAGAAACAAGCACAAGTCCATCATAGTCCATGGTATTGTCAAACAGACGCAAGGTGGTCCCTCGCTTGCTGGCAGCGCGGTGTCGCCCTGGGTGCCCTCATGATTGCCACCAAAAGTTTTCAATCACCATGAAACCCTTCGCACAAGCGGTTCATGAGCAGGCTGAGTCTTCAAACTGCACATGCCAGCGAGGCGGCTGTCTCACTTGTATGCGCCGCCATCGAACCCCCCTTCGTACTGAAAGTGCAAATGATTTGTCGCAGGTCGCAGAGTTTGTCGATTGGATGCGTGCGCCTGGTGATTGGCGCCCTGGACCCAACACTTCGCCAAAGCCACAGAATGCCCCATGCCTCCGCTTCGATCATCCTGGTTCAGCTTCAATCGCTGAGGAAACCATACAATGTTGCGAAAGAAGGCTGTGTATATTGTTTGGCAAAAATCAAATCAGGGTGTCTCATGGTTGCTTGCAAAGGTTATGGACTTAAGTTGTGAAACCAAATGTGGAACTGCTGCGAGCGCCAGGGCGAGTTGCCAGCGATGATGGCTCCTGGCCTGGCCCATGGTTTCTTTGCTTTGCCAGTCTTAATATTCAAGATGCCCAAGAAGGTAGATGTTGACATTGATCATTGAGGATTTTCTTGGAAGGCGGTACAGACTGGCTTGGGTCTGCCACCTAGTCCACCTTCCACCTGGTCAGTTCGAGCCTGATTGTGTCTCTCAGGTTTCAGGGCTTGTATTGCAATTTCTCCACCGGGAGCAAGCCAAGATGGGCGGGGGCGGCTCAAACGCTCGAAGCAGATATCAGATTCTTCGTTTTTCCAATTGCAGGTGTCGTTCAGATTGTGCCTGGAAACCTTGGATGTGTCCTGTGGATTTTTTGCGCTGCCAGGGAATCCCAGTGGTTTGCTTTGGAAGTTGCTAGACTTGCAGTACCAACCAACGGGTATCAAGATCGCTGTTCTGTAGTGGCAGCTTCACACATGTCAACAAAGGTCGGCTGACAGAAGAACTTGGGGCCTGCAGCCGTTGATCTTTATTTTCAACTACCGCGGGAACGACATGCAATCGGTACGCCCTGATCTGACTTGGTTGAAACTGTCCTTTGCCGGGGTTGCGAAATGTTCCCGTGTTAGGCAGAGCTTTGACAATTACAAAACCTTTTGTTTTTTGTTGATTTGTTTGGATTGCTTCTGCAGGAAGAATGACCCTGCACAAATCAATAAGAAGTGTACCAAGCTTGAAATCTCACGCGGTGAATGCAATTTTTACATATTTTAAACCCGAGGTCCGCAGAGGTGAAAAGGTGCAGATCAGCCTTTCCAGGTTATGCGCCCAAGGTTCAGGTGTAAGACCGGCGGAGGACGAGGAGGGCATCGAAGATGAACAGCGGCTGGACCACTGCGGCTACTTAGCCCGGAGCAACCTCGAGACTTAGAGGAAGATCGCAATCAGACACTGTATGGAGAGACCAAGAGTGTGAGGGCCAGAGAGCAGAGCATGAAGGGTGAAGGACCATCCGGGCCTACGTCCTCTTGAAGGGGGGGGAAGCGCTTTGCAGGTCAGCACTACAACGGGAACCCCGTTGGTGAGTGAACAACGAGGAGCACGAAGTGAAGGTCGCATAGAACGATCTTCAGGGAGATGTTGGCCTTGCGACTGGTCAGGTCGACCCGCCCGCCACTCAAATGGTGAACGGAATGGTGGTGTCTGCCAAAGAGCTGAATTGAATGCATTGGCGGCAAGTGCTCCAGATGGCGTCTACTTGAAGAGGTCTTTGGAGTTCCCGACAGGGGAGCAAGCAGTGCATCACTGCATAGTGGGCAACTCTGCAGCTCTACTTCTAGGAAAGCTGCATCATACATTAGGAAAGCTTTAATGGATCCAGGACATGGTCATGGAGGAAGAGCTCCATGAAGGCGAAATTGCTCAACAGAATCCTTTTGTAGGAAGACCTCTATGAGGAGGAAGACCAAGCTCATGCTGTGCTCTCATGAGCCAGCGTGCACCAAGAGCTTCATGTTGCGCCGCCGCCCGCTTTTCCTTTTGACACAAATTGGGCGCTGCTTCTGATGCTCCTGACTTGGGAGGGAGCGCCCCACCGAGCCATAGAGCTGGACGCGCAAAGGCCCTGTCACCTTTTTGCACACTTCGATCATGTACACCTTCATTGCTTGAGCTACCCAACCTCAAAAGCCCAAAATCTGGATGCGAGCTGGACAGAAGTCCTGGAAACCAGCTAGAGTCCAGATGTTTAATATAGCAAAGCAAATAGAATCCAAGAGTTTCTGGACACCTCAGTTTTCTGAGAAGACACTTTGATAAACGAAATTTCCTCTATTTGTTATGTTTTATTTCTAGTGTGTTTAAAAAACAATTGGCGTTTGCTTGCTTCCAGGATATCATTTGTTTGTTCCTGGAGTCGTCGTTTTTCCCGAATGCTTCACATGGCTTGCAAAGTGCATGAAAAACGCGGTCCCACAGTAGTTGCGTGGACATGGCAAAGGCAAAGCGTTGCTGCTATGACGAACGACACGTGTTGCGCACAGGAGGTCGTTTTTCAACACAGGGATGATGTTTTGCTTGATTTTTCTCCCTAGTGCCTCCTTCTTTGACTTTCCGGGATTTGACACAACAACAACGTGAACTGCAACGTTCCTTGATACTCGTACACGAAGTCCTTTGTGTTGGACACCCCTGCCCCAATGGCCCTCGAGTCTGTTGGCAACACAGACCGCGGAAAATACAAACCTAGCTGAACCAGTTTTCTTACAGTAGGGAGACCGCGACAAAACTGAAAAATAAAACTTCGACTCCAACGTGTGAGCTGTAGTTGTGCGGAACTAAACCTCGGTTTTGTTTCGACACCCTCCTCTCCGAGAGAGCGTTGAAGTACCTGTCCTTCATTTGTCTTATTGCGGACTACCATGCTGCAAAACTGCACAAACGCAATGCGCGCACACTGCAGCTACTTCAAAGTCTTACACCAACTTTAGTTTGCAAATAACAACAGTTTGTCTAAGTTGGGGCTACCAAATACCATCTACAAATTCTGCACAACAATCAGCAACTGTTTTTTCACCTAAAAAAGGCAGGCAGGCAGGCATCCATACATACAGACCGACAGACAGAGGGAGAGGCAGAGACAAAGACAGACAGGCAGTGGACAGTGCTTGTGTGTAAAGAGGGGAACCCACGACCCCATCGCGGCAGGGGAAGCGTTCTTTTGCTTTACAAACTCAACCAGTGACCGGCGATTTGCACATCCTCCAACTTGAAGAGGCAAGGCACTGCTGTGAGTTTTGGTGGCGTACTATTTCTACATTGTCATTTGTTTTTGAGTTTGTTTGAATCATCAGTGGTGGGGAAGCCGAGCAGCATTGGATTCAGTGAGTTGTGTTTTTCTGGAATTGAAGGGAGCAAACGTCAGCCATTTGTAAGGTAGCATGCGCTGCCAACGTTGCTTTTGTTGTTAGGCATCTTCTGTTTTTAGGAATCTTGCAAGGCACAAATCTTGGCTGGAGTTGCTTACGAGATATCTGTGCACCTGGACTGGCAGCAACCCAAGTCGAAACTTCCGACCGACAATCCTACAGCTTCAAGTCGTCAGGGGGCGAGGCCTTCTGGAGCTTTTTATAGATGGGGCTGGCGTGTTGCGCAACGTTCCATTCCAGGCCTGGATGCCTTGATCGCGACAGTTGTGTTTTCATATGTTCAATCCGTGACTCCAGCATATTCCAGCCTTGTGGTCAAGGCAGATTTGGTGCCGCGCTACATAGGCTGAGTTGTTGCAATCATTTAGTTATGACTCAAATTATGACGTTTCCTTGTTTCACCCGTGCCTTTGGCTATGTCCAGAACAGCTGTAGCACTACCACTTCCAAGACGCAGGGCGTTGCCCTATACTTCCCCAGTGCTTGCCCGACGTTGTGCGGACCTGCTCCGAGCTCTTGCTTGTGCCTGCGTGGCATGTTTTCCGAACTGCACGCACCCGCACTTGTTTTGCGCTTTGTGCGGTCCTTGTTTGGGGTTCCATGTTGAAAAGCTGCACGACATGTTCAGTGTTGCACCTTGTGTATACTGTATATATATACTTTATATAACCTGAACCTGAATCGCTTGAGACTCTTGAGCAGCGCGACGTTCTGACTGTGGGTGTCCATGCCAACAAAAGCGAACTTGCCAAAAAAAGCGACTAAAAGTTTGCGCTCCGGGGACTCCGAAACATGCTCCGTCACAACAAGCACAAAAACCTCCAAAGAGTTTGCCGTTGAATCTAACCACTTAGCCGCCCCCACTTCTGATCGCTTCCCCGACAGATCATTTCAGCATATTTCAGCAATGCTTTGCTTCTTGAGGAAGTTAGGGTTTTCTCACAGGCAAGTTTGCCTCAAGGCCTGTACAATTGGAGGAGCCGCGCATCATGTGGTTTTTCGGAGCGCTGGGCTTAGCTTCTAAAGATTTGCTTGCCGAATGAACACAGGGTGCAGGTAGATGACATCCTGTGCACGCGCAAGTACCATAAGTTTGGGCCGCCGCCGCTTCCATTTGGGTAGCATTTCATGTATATAGATTGCTTTACTAGCAAGTTACATGTTGTCAATCTTATCACGCTACATGACCTAGTTTGTTCTTCCTGTGGCTTAGTAAGTTGGAAAATGGACTCAATGGATGTGATCAATGAAGGTGTATATATGTCGTTTTTGACGTCTGTTTTGGCGACGTGGGAGCACTGTCACAATCTGCCACCCATGCCGCTGCCTCTTCCTCCAAGATCTCTTTCAGCAACCACTTTCATTTGCGCGTCAATGAACTTAGTGTTTGTCCAACAGAAGTCCCCGTAAAGAACAAGAGATCATGCCTTATCGCAGCATGCCCTGTGAAATACTGACTCAGGCCTTGGTCTGGGAACTGTTAGAAATGTCTCAACAGTTGCGAGATGCTGAAGATATAGCGCCAGGAACCAGCGCCCTACAGCCAAGGGAGAGCGAACCCTAAGCTGTCGGACAGGACGGTGCTCGCAAAAACTACACAACAGAAAGACCTCCAGACAAGCTTTACTTGCCCTTAGTTTCGGCCCCTCATTCTTCAAGACCGCTTGCAAGAGCCACTTTCTGGAAGCCTAAAAGCACGTAGCAGCAATCGAACACTTAAGGCATTGCTGACAGCCGATGTCAGTGAGACACGAAGTCTATTCAGTCAGGACCACCTTTCATTCCTTCATTGCTCAACACAAGTGTGTCCGCATGTGTCGGCCATTCTTGAAGGAATCCATTTTCATGCCCGGAGTGTACGCCGCCTCCTGAAAACACCATGGCATTTGGGAGAGCACCGTAGCATGTCCACCTTCCTATTGTAGTACTTGTTGATCTACTGTATATCTACTGTATATATTTGTATTTTGACAGTTGCGGGCTTGGCAAGCCTGCGGGTTCAAAGAGCCATTTTTGAAAGCATGCAACAGCAAGATCCATTCATGAGATGTTCAAGAGCCACTCCAGAATGGTTCGAGGATGTTCGAGGTGTTTACCCAAGCCCAGCCACTCTTTGGGAGCCTGCTTCCAGACAAAGCCCAATTTGAGACTTTGAAACATTGTAAAAACGTTAATAGCGAGTATGTTTCTGTTGCATGTCCTTCTTCAAGTATCCCTTATTATCCCTTCAAAAAGGTTCCACCACACTGATTTTACAGAAATCTTCTTCTTGTCACTACCTAGGCCCATGGCCTCATCGGTTATCGATAAGCCACTTCCCTACCACACTTGCGATCAGCGGTTCGATGCCTCCCCCATGGCTATATAATTGGAACTAGTTTCGTGTTGGATTGAAGGCTTCGCAGAAAGTGCAACAGGCCATGTCCATGTCCTTCGACCGGCTCAAAAGACAACATTGCTTTTTGTTTGAAGGACAGCTGGTCCAAGACCGTCCAGGCATTCTGTCCCAAGGAAGCGCGACACCCCACCACATTACCGCCGCCATTCTAGGATTCTAAGTCTAAGACCATCAAAGACCCCCGAAAACCGACCAAAAATATTGAACACAATCATCTCTATAGCTATAGCAAGATCGTTTTTGTCAAAGCCATCATTACCCTCGACACCCATTTTGTCCAGTCTCGCCACAATCACAGGTGTTGTATTGACCATAGGCAACTGAACAAAACAGAAAGACATGAAGACCGGCTGTAAGGTGTGACACCAAATGGCATCCGCAATGTCTTAGGTGTGCCTGTGGAGGGACTGGCGGCGCCAACTCTATACACATCGATAATCGTTGCTTTAACGGTTTGCCCCAATCGGATCATCATCGCAATGTCTACTTTACTTCACAGCTTGGCTTTCTATCTTTGCAAGCCTCAGGATAATTGTTGGCAATGCGCGGCCGTATCCACAGGCAAAGTCTCAACATGCGTGGAGGCCGGGTTCGCATCCCAGAAACATGTAAAGTCGTTGCATATCGTTGCCAAATTCAGTTTGGACAAACTAGAAGGTTCGCGGAATCTCCAACGGAAACATTAGTGCCGTCGTTTGTCTATATTCATTGAGTGTTATAGAATTCTATGCTTGGGGTCTCATGCCTGCTATTACGCGTACCGGTATTTGGAAAAATCATCCCGTCTCCAAATCTGACTTTGCTACCTTCAAGCACCATTGAACAGTTTGCCAAATCATGTCATGCTCTGATTCATTCAAGATCCTTCACCACTAAAGGCTATCCTTTTCGTTTGCTCATGTATGCTTCAAAAGTGCACCATTTTGACGGCCTCGTGCCACCAGGGTCTCCGAAAGCCGCCAGGGCACTGAGCAAGGCTGGTGAACTATATATATTTTTGGAACATTGGACATCATGGGACATTGATGCAATGGATATTTCATGATTCCGCGAGTGAACACCTCGCAGCAGCTTTCTCTTGCAAGGCACCTCTGCCTGGAGAAGACACAGGCTCAAAGCCGTTCATGTCCTCTCAGCTTTCCACACGACGCCGCTCGATGGCAGGATGTGGGTCAGCCTTCTCACAGCCAGAAGCCCAAACAAACGCCAGTGTTGTTCAACTTTTGTTCTACTACAGTACTAGTTTCTTTGTGTTGCGTCTAAAGAGCACAGTATCCTTGATCATGAGGCGCTTATCCTGGTGCTACTTGTTGCCGTTGCAATCCACCGCACACTCGCGTTGTGAATGAAAAGAGACCTGCACAACGTGAGTCCTATATATAAATATTGTCGTCTAGATATTGCAGACGCTGTCAGACCGAGTTTGCAGGAGAACAGCCGCAGCAGAACTCAACATCCTGGTCATAGCGAAACCGATACTGTTGCGATATAGGCTATATTCCATTACATGCCATTGTCCACCGGCTAAGTAGTGGGTGCGATTGGAGACACACAAAGAGTTAGGGATCAAGAATGAGAAGATAAGGAGAGTTCTCTTCAAGAATCAAACTCAAGAGACTCAGGAGCAAAGTACACCAGAGAAGAGAAGGGAAGCGACTTGACACAGAGCCATGGATTTGGCCCCATTCGATCTTCACGTTCGAAGGGCTTTGACACATCACTTGAATCGTCCAGGGCTTCCAGTCTTTGTTTGGAGCTTCACGGAACGAAGGCAAAGCTCAGTGGCTTTAGTGGCCACTTCTTCTGTGGCCTCCTTCCTTGCTGGGCAAGGTTCCTTGGAAAAAGCTTGGAAAATCGGGCTGCGGCCCATGCCGCCGGCCCAGGTGGTTCTATATTTCAGGTCACAAAAAACAATTATAATTATACCAGCGTTGACCCCAAACAGTTGGTTTGGTCCAGGTCCAAGTAGTCCAGACAAATGTAAGATCATGCGGCCACAGCACCCACAAAGGACTGGAGACAGTGGGAGACAAATCGGAGACAAGTGTAAAATCATGTGGCCCGAGCACCCACAAGGGACTGGAGACAATGGGTGACAAGTTGTCAGACAAGTGTAAAATCATGCGGCAAAAGCAGGACTGGAGACAGTGGGAGACAAGTGCAAAATCATGCGGCTTACAGGAGACTGAGCACCCGCAAGCGAGTGGAGAAAAGTGTAAAGTCATGCAGCCAGAGCACCCACAAGGCACTGGAGACAGTGGGAGACAAGTGGTAAATAAATGTAAAATCATGCACAAGGGATCGGAGACAAGTGGGAGACAAATGTAGAATCATGTGGCCAGCGCACGCACAAGGCAAGGGAGACGGTGGAAGAGAAATGGGAGACAAGTGTAAATCATGCGGCCGGAGCACCAGTCCATCTTAGCTAGCTGGCAGTAGGGAGCTGATAGCGTTGATCTACGGGGTCGCGTGACCATAGGTTGCTGGTGCTAGGACAAACCGCTGCATCAAGACTTCTGCTCCGCGCCTGTGTCCAACGGCCTCCTAAAAGACGTTTTATGGTGTGTTTTTAACACTTGCTTTGCACAGGTGCTGCGGCTTCACACCGACTGCTTCGTGAAAACCTCGATGAAGCGTTGGAGACAGTGGGAGGCAAGTGTAAAATCATGCGGCTGCGGCCAAAGCACCCACAAGAGACTGGAGACAGTGGGAGACAAGTGGGGGACAAGTGTATGCAGCCAGCGCACCGGAGACAGTGGGATACAAATGAAGGCAAGTGCAAAATCATGCGGCCAGAGCACCCACAAAGGGAGTGGAGACAACGCGAGACAAGTGGGAGGCAAGTGTGAAATCATGCGGCGGCCAGCGCACCCACAGGGGACAAATTTAGAATCTAAAGAAGACTGAAGACAATGGGAGACAAGTGTCAAAATCATGCGGCCAAAGCACCCACAAGCGAGTGGAGACAAGTGGGAGACAAGCGAAAAATCATGTGGCCAGAGCACCCACAAGGGGCTGGAGACAGTGGGAGATAAGTGGGAGACAAATGGGGAGACAAGTGTAAAATCACGGGCCACAGCAAGCGCCGTGAGCATGTGGGTGAAGCCTGACAATGTTTTTGCACGTGACATCCACGTCCTCCTTCCTGTACGACCCAAAACCCCCACCTGTTGCACAGTTCCGTCCTCGGACTGCAATATTTGTAATAGCGCACTCCCTACACAGGTGCAGTTGTAAGCATTCTGCTTCCTCGAGGCTCACGGGACAGACCTGACTTGCCCACATTTAACAAACACAAAACATTGCTAGATACCGCTAGCCTGCGCTCCAGGGCTTAATCTTTTCACCCCCTCGTCCCCCCACCCACGCTAATCACATCACTGTGCGATGACAACACCCATACACCGACGACGATGCTGTGAAATTGATGGGTGAACATGTTGTGAGGCCGAAGATCGTCCTATGAAATCGATGACAATGTTCTCCACATACCTCCAAGCGCCATCCGCGTCATCGTTCCAGCCCGACTGGCCGTCAATCCTCAAAAGTTGTTTCCCGTTTGGCGCCGATGAGAAGACAAAGCGGGGCATCAAGGCTGAATACTGAATGCCCAGCGGTGGTCAATGCTCGCCACCTTCATGCTTTCCGGAGGCTCTACAAGAACGACGTCTACTTCCTCCACAACCTATACCAGCCAATTGCCTGCCTGACGCGGCAGGACCTTGATGAGCGTAAACTTCCAGCGCGTGAAAAGAAGATGTTTGACGAAGCCAAACTACTGGAAATCAACCATCTCATCAGTTCGAAAGCCATCGAGATTGTGCTTCATCAAGATCAATGTGATGAAATTCGAGAACGGCGCCCTAGGCCCATGCCTTCTCGATCAAGAAGGGCAAAAAAAATGGCACCATGGAACTTGAGCGATATGCTCCTACTCCCTCTTCAACAACCGTGTTTGCAGCTGATCGATTCAAACCGCTTCCACTTGTACATCATGGATGTGGGAAGGGATCAGAGGGCTCATTGTTTGCCACCATGCCCTCAACTGGAGGCCCTCACTGCAGTCTATGGATTGGTGAACGGCCCGGCAGTGTGGAGAAAGTGAGAAGCTTTTGGACCTTGCACATGGTAAGAGTGTCTTTGACCCTTGCTTCTGCTACCTGAAGGCCGCTGAGGATGAGTTGCAAATTTCATGTGGCTGTCGTCCTCTTGGAGGAAGTGGCATGATGTTTATTGCAGCAGCGCTGATTACAATGGGGGCAAACTCACGCAGGAACAGGATTTTGAGATTCGCCTGAGCATGAAGGGATACATTGAAGACAGGCTCAGACTCAAACCTGTGAACCATCCCAAAAAGAAAAACTGCCTTTGGAACTTTGGAGCTTCTCTATACTCACAGAACGTGTGCCTTTCGCCGTGACGCATACCTGTCGCGGCGGTCGCCGCGTGCCTGCTAAGCCTCTGCACCTTCCCTTCACTCACAGACGTACTCGCCGTGGTCTCCACGTGCCCGCGCGGCTTCCGGAGCGTCTCTATACTCGCACAACTCACACCTGTCGCCGCGGCGGGCGCACCTGAACGGAGGTGAGGCCCAAAGCGCAAGAACCAGATCGACAAGATGACGACGTGCGATCACAACTGCGGAGTGCACTAGCTCTTTCCTGAAAAGTGGTGTCACCGCTTGAGCAACAGTTGAAAAGGAGCAGTTATGCGGAGGTGATCAGACTCCATATCAGTCGTGGCGTAGCCCTCTTCGTTGGACGACCAGCTATGCGAAACAATCCAACAGGATCCCTGTGACTCTAAGGGTTACACTTATGGATATGCGTACTGACTTGACAGCGGTGCCACACGCCGGCCTAGGGTTCCAATTCCTAAGGGTACAGGTAAGGAAACCTAAATAGTAGGTTAAAGGCCAACGGTTTGGGTTGGAGGTCAACGCGAGGCTGTTGGGGCCAAGACCTAAGGTTGGAGGCCATCGCTAGTAGGCGGTGGACCATAGACGCAAAGTGACAGCAAATAGTAGGTTAAAGGCCAACGGTTTTGGTTGGAGGTCAACGCGAGGCTGTTGGGGCCACGACCTAAGGTTGGATGCCATCGCTAGTAGGCGGTGGACCATAGACACACAGTGACAGCGAAAGGAAAAGTGGAGGTCATCGCTAGTAGGTTGGAGGCCAGGGTACCAAGTTGGGGGCCAGCGCTACCAGGTTACAAAGCACAAGAAAACCACAAGACAGCCAAAGTTGGAGGTCCTTGCTAGTGGGTAGAGGCCAGGGTACCAAGTTGGAGGCCAGTGCTACAAGGTTACAAGAAGCACAAAAGTACAAGAAGCACAAGACAGCAAAACAGCGAGTTGGGGGTCAATCTAGTGGGTAGAGGCCAAAGTTCAAGTTAAAGAACCCCTTACAAAGTTTGGAGGCCTACCTGTAAACCTGTAGAGTAGCCTTAGAGGAAAACAGAAGGAAAGGCGCCGACACACAAGTGTGTCGAGTACCATTTCCTCCTGTCTCCCTAAATAGTGGAACTGGTACGTAGTTCTGGCGTCCCAGAACTATATCACTGTGCGACAGATGCGTCTTCGTTGGCTGGAGACATCTGAAGCACACTCCAGCCCCCTGTTCCAAACCTTAAGGTTCCCTTTGATTTGAAGGGTTACACACGCACACACACACACACGCACACACACACGCCCCCCCGACGGGAGGCGACAAACTCTAAGGCCCAGGCAAATGTGTAAGTGTGAGCGCAGCAAGACAAACACACGAAGACATGCAAAGAGGACAAGACGGGACAAAGGTGTGTGTGTGTGGTTGCGACCAAAGGGAACCAAATGCACAGTGACAACCGATGAAAACTTGGGCAACCTCAACCCTAAGTTGAAAGTAGGCTGCGCGCGTACAAACGAAGTGTGGGGCCATGTGCGCGCAAAAGAAGAAAGGAGATGAGATGACAAGACACGAAGAAAGGAAGACATGAAACGAAAGAGGAAAAGAAGGCGTGTGAAGGGGAAAGGATGAAAAGGGGAACCAAATGGAGGATTAGAAACGCCTAGGAAGACCTCGCCTCGATTGAATGTATACGCTGTGTGTGCACCTAACGATGTGACAGGCTCCAGTGAGCCTTGAGCCAGCTTTGGTCGCTGCGACCACCTCGTGGCGTAAAGCCTACTAACGTCCGCTGCGGACACGTTCTGGCGTGCTCGAAAGCGGCCTACTTGGAATTCAATAGTTCGGGAAGTCTTGGCAAATAACTTTGGCATGAGCCACCTACGCTCGCTGCGAGCTGCTCTGTATCCGGGCAGGGGATACGTTTGACAAACCCCGTTCAACGGGTCCACAGGCCACTCTT